AAACAACCAAACTGCAATGTGGTTATTTATATATAACCATACTTGTTTTGGTTATATACAAATAACCACTCTAAATAATAAAAATACATTTGGCGCCCCATAAATCTTCTCGACTTTATTTTGTGAGAAGAAACCGGATGTTACAGTGTACAGATTTTAGATTATGGTATATTGGCTCATATACCATAATGGCTGAGCCAATAAAAAGTCTTGAATTGCATTATCCAATGATCCAATTTTTAATAAGTAAGAATACCCTGTTGTTGAAAAGGATATATTGATCGGAGGGGCAAAAGAAGGAGGGAAGAAAAATAGATAGAGCAGTGACCTTTTGGAATGATAATAATGAGCCGGATAATAATAACAATAATAATTAGCGTCAGCTGAATTTCATGCAACAAAGGACAATTGAAAAACAGAAATATTTTCATGACAATGATGGAGCTGAAGTGTGTTTTCCCAATTTTAAGAGAGGGCTGTCCCTTTTGAGTGCTTGTGTTATTAAGTTCCGTCTCAGAAATCGGCAATTTCGAAATAAAGTGAACTTGTCGCCTAATGGCCTCAGTGAACTAGGACTGACGATGACAGCTAAAGGTTATGACTGTGTAAATTGAGCTATTAAGGACAACAATTGATCCTGAATCTTATAGAATATAATAAAATGAACGATTTTCAAATTCCCTTTGAAATAACAAACCATATGGTGATCTAATGGCTTTGTTTTTAGACGCGATGAATCATTTCCGCAATCAGTCTCAGAGTAATTTCAAGTTACACTTTCCATCTTTACATCTTTAATTCACTTGCTTATGGCCATAGACTTGTCTGATGCAACTGGCAAATTTCTATCGCTTTTTGAGCATAAAGAGCACTTTACGTCTTTTATGACTACATTGGAAAAAGTTGTGTTAAAAATGCAAATTAAAAGTGTTAAAAGTTCCTTTTTTTAAGCCACTCCTCCGCTCTTCTAACAGATTTTTGTTAATTGGTTGTACAACCAATACATTGTCAGAAAAGCAATTAATGTTTAAGATGTTTAAGTTTGAAAGAAAATTGATGAGCGAAAGCAATTTCATTGTTTTACAGTCCATTTTTTAACCGGCATATAGGTATAAATAATAGAAGTTGAAAGGTATCTACTGCCGTGGCATACTCCTGAGCTTGCTAGCGCTAGCGTGCTGAGAATTAAAATATTCAAAAGACACTTTAACTGATTGTTCGTTTATTTGGGCAATTTAGTGCTAACAATTTTCGCTTTCTGTCAGTGATATGTTGTAATAAAACTCTAACGAAAAAAAAAACAGTCCATTTTCTCCTGGTAAAAAAAAACCCTTTGAGTTATTCGTCAAAATAAATGTTCAGACGTACAGGCGTCTCACGCGTACGGACATCGTTGAAAACAACTATGAAAAGCACTAGCTTTTTTTTTTGGAACGTCTCCTGTTAAAAATTTGCTCTTAAATGTTGGAAAAATTAATATTTCAGGGTTTTGATCAGGGGTTTTGTCAACATTTTAAATCATAGTTAAACCTTTTAGCGTCTCTCGTCAAAACGTGTTGTATGCCACCCCATAATGGCCCTCGAAAATTAAGGACAAATGCCCCATTTAGAAGGACAGCCTTCTCACAGGATTCTACTTTGGCGATAACTAATGCCTTAAAAGCTTAATCAGAGCATTGTTAATACTAAAAATTTACCGATATTCATTTACGCCTTATTATAGAATTAGGCCTTGATTTGATGTCGCATGCAAGTTAAATTTGAAGAGCTTTTCTTCAGTTCAATATACTTTATGATGTACAGATGTAAGAATCGATAAACATATGAAAATAGCATGCCCTTGTTGCTCAGGTAAACCATCGTCTGAAACTCATCTCGTGGGATGGGCGTTTAAGTCCATGTCAACTTTCACATGTCAAGTTGAATAAACAATTTTAAATGCGAAATCTCTTTTTGCTTGAATTTTTCTCGGCAAGAATCACCACCTGAATAAACACAAGTGGATTCTAGGGAAAATGAAATTGAAAGATTTGGCAGTTTAATGACTCAATGAAGTCCATTAAGCCGACCTACTCTAGAGTTGACCGTCAAAGATAAGCTAAGAGATTTTCACAAGGGAAAAAAATTGGATCCGATAAGAGAGAGCATCTTATATTTTCTTTTAATAATAGATAAAAACACGAATTTAAAAATGTACGATTAGCGCGTAGCTTATAATCGTGATGGTTTTTTTCTCCAATTTACTTTAGAGGAGTTTCAATTAAACAGAAAGACTGATAGCATTATTTTGCGTGAAGAGAACGAGATTCTATACCTCGTAGTTTTGAGCTACCGCATTTGGCAATATGAAGAATATTGTACATCGTTCAACTACCACGTAATTCATCATAAAGTTTGAGGCGTTTATTACGAGCAGGTTGAAAAAAAAAACAACAACAAAAACAAAACCAGTGTTAACAGCCGTTGTCATGTTAGCCTCATCGCGTGAAAGCTGTGAAACGAGCCCTTACCAGAAAAATTGTTAATGTAAACGAATTTATTCCTTTAAGCACATAGAGGCAAACTGTAAAGCCATTCTTAAGCTGAAAGAAATGTACTGTTTTGTATAAACCATACTAAATGACCAACGGGGTCTAGTTGAAGAAAAAACTAAAGAAAATTTCAAAAATCTACTGAACTTTTAAGTTTCGAACCGAATAAAAACGAGAACAGAAGCTCAAGACTGGTAACAGTTAAGTTTCTGCTTTCTTCATTATTATAAATGTTGGAAGTCGAGAACAGGGAAGGCAGACTTCGGCAACATCGGCACGGCATATTTTAAAACTAGCAGCAATCTCTTGGTTCAGTGAACGCCTAGTGATCGCGATGCAAAATAATCATGAATTTACTGCGCGGAAATAAAATTGGAATTTTGCATGCGGCTATTCGTTAGTAGAAATTGTATTTGCTTAAACTGTTTACTTAATACATAAGTAGAAAGACATTGTCATTTTCTATGCCAGCTGTTCCACCCGTCAACAAAGGAGATCTTCTAAGGAACTTAAGCAAGCATACACATGTTGACGCAAATGAAAACAATAGACTTGTTTTGCTCCTTCAGCTAGATGTTCCCCTCGATTGCTGCCCCAGCCACATCTTAATGGGAGCATTCTTCTTTTGTTATGTATGAAAGAAGAACTTTCAATGATACATAATTTGGGGTAAACTAGTTTTCTCAGTAAATTAGATGGACAAAATCAACTTTTTTTTCGGATATTTTTTCTATTGGATTATGACGAAATTGTTAACATTTAAGTTCAGACGCTTTTTGGAGGAATATAATTTTAAGAGATAATATTCATTTTATATATGCGCTGATGCATATGAATCAAGAATATCGCAAACAATTTGTATTTGCGGCATGCAATATCAATACTACCAGCTGCCTCCATTATATATTTCTTTATCGCATTGAATTTATATAATTCCATCGGAAAGGCAAAGCTCGCTTATTTATCTCCTAGTTAATCAGCGTAAAAACTTATCTTTTACTTTGAAGCGGCTAAGAATTACAAGAAAGCGGAGTACATTTAGCAATTTCCTGTACGCCCACGAAGAGAAGTCAAGGCTTTTATTGAGACTGCTATCTGCATTGAAACCTATCACTGGTTCGCGCTTTTAACTTCCGTTTCCAAACTCCACGACGACGCGGAATAAAAGCGAATATACTTATTGCATTTTGTTTGCACGTTACGCTGACAATAAGTGAAAAGCCTGATGAAGGCCGTTCTGTCATTAAAAATAACAAACCCCCCTGCATTGCTTGGTGCCCAGTTCTCTCAATTGTATGATGAGGATTCTGACCGTGAAAAACGCGCGTGAAAATTATGACAAGAAAAAATTTTAAAGGGGCCATAATTTCTGGCGAAAAAAATCCACCGAGAGGGCGGACATCAAAATTTTAGTAAAATTTGGAAGAAAGAGTCGTAAAGTCGAAGTGAACAAATATCAATTTGAGTTCGAATATAATTGAGTCAAATTTTCTGCAGCTGCAGAACCAACTTGAAGCAATTTCGCTTTCGACTAGAACCTTCGCATGTTTTTCCCAGAATATCAACAATAACAATAATTAAATTCGCTTGCGTTGCGAGTTCTGACGCCGTTACCGAAAGCTGAAACGATAAAAACATAAAGTTGGAAACCTCACGAAAACGAATCCCTCTAGAAATTCAGTTATAAAAATCGATACACAATTCACTACTGACTGCGTTTTATTCGATGCCAATAGACCCCATCTTTGTTATTACACAAGGTAAATGCTAATACAATTCCACCCAATTCGATCGTTTTATAGGCTTAACCGAAAGAAACCCGAGAGCATTTAAGTCTCAGCTTGGTCCAGACAAATTCACCTTGACTACTGATCAAGGAAAGAAACGACCAACTGAGTTTCATACATGTAGCTGTTTACTATAGCTTTCATGGTAACAAAAAACCGCAAAATTCGCTAATGATCTTACGAAGAACTTCTTTCAGTCGAAAAGCCGCTCTCGTTTAGTTGTCGAATATTACTCACTGAAAGCTCGGCAATCAATGTAATTCTTACTTCTTCAACAAAAATTCTTCACTGATATTTAGCGATATGTAGAAATTTCATCTTTAGTAATAAAAATTTCTGCGTGTTTTTTGCTGCCGCCGTGTCAGTATCTTGTCCATACGCACGCTTATTCAGATAGTAACAGGTGGTTTAAAATAAATACAAACTACAATATGTTCATCACTCGTACCGCAGCGATGCTCATTTTTTTCTGCTCTGGTAAATTTTTTTTTTCTCCTTATTTATTATTTATGCTTAGTGGGTTCGAAGAAAAAGTGAACTATGTCTTTATTTTGCTTCAACCTTTAAGGTAGCAATTCGTTACACTCAGTAAAACCATCGAACACTGTAGGACAAATTGTGCTTTGGAGAACTTAGCATAAGATTGTTTTCGCTGATTTCGTTATCGTTTCGCCGCTAAGCAAACGCTTCTTTTTAGCAATACCTATTTCTTACATTTGGATTATTTAAATCAATAAATAAATGTACACATTCCGAAAAAAATTTTTTTCATTTAATGAATGTTTTCTACCCTGCGAATTTAAAAAGCACAAATGCATCGGAGAGGTACAAAGCTAAAGTCGCTAACATTTCAATTTACCTGACAATTTTTGCCATATAATGACACTTGGACATGTCACCAAAATAGCTTTTCCTCAATTCAATACAATGGTGCTTTGTAGCTACGAAAGTAACATGGAAAAACCAAATTTAATTTTTTTCGGGGCGCGCACCACATAAACAAAGAAAAATCATGCTGAAGGCAATTTCTTCTAGCGCCTGGATGTTAAATGATATATGCTTATTTAAGGTTCCATTCATCGTGCCGAATTTGACCGAGCTCTTTTCCTATTTTACGCCGTACCACTTCCCTTTCAAGATTTCCGAATCCTAATTACACTGAATCCCCTTCTTCGGAAGCCGAGTTTGCCTCTTGAATAACAATTTGTGGGGTTTTGCCATTATCATATCTGGTTGTAAAAAATGTCACTACCGATACGTCTTCATCCCCTGAGGTCGATCTATGCGTGTAACTGTCCCGTCCTCGGATGACACAAATACGGAGGAAAATATCCTTGAAAGCTTTTCTAAAATCGCTGTTAAAGCTTGAGTATATAATTGGATTTATGGCTGAGTTCAGCAGCGGTAATACGTATACAAAAACGACCGCTACAAATTGTTGTACTTTCTCGGGAATCTTGCTCAAGCAGTCCCCACAAAATTGCACAACAAACATTATAATGAAAAAGGGTAACCAACAAATGATGAAAGTCCCGATGACGATGGCGAGAGTCTTGGTGGCTTTTAATTCGCGTACTATCGATTTTCGACGTTTACGTTCAGTCCGTCCGACGCTTACGACGCTTTGGCGCACTTCCTTCCTGGTGTCCGGCTCAGATATCTCTCCAGGCTTCATCGCACTCGCTGATTTTAACAGCTGTAGTTTTTTGGCCTGTATGAAGGCGACCTTGAAAACCATTGAATAGTTGATGACGAGAATGGTTAAAGGCAGGAAAAAACCGGCGGTTATTGCAAATGTGTAGTAGTAACGATCCGATTTCTTGCACTCATTTGAAGAAATTGTCTTCGCGTCAGGGGACCAACTCGTGAACGATAAAGCCGCTAACAATCCGGAGTAGCCCCAAACGAAGGCAATAGCGGCAAACCCTCTTCCTTTCGTCATAATACTCCTGTAGCTCAGAGGGAAACTTAGCGCTAAGAATCTGTCGATCGAGATAAGGCTAAGGTTTGTTATGGACGCGCACGAACACAGTAGGTCCACGAACACCCAAAACTCACAAACAATCTTACCGAGATCCCAGCACATATAGTTTAGTGTGTGATGAATGCGAAACGGCATGGAAAGAGCGGCGATGAGAAGATCTGACACAGCCAAGGAGATGATGAAGTAGTTTGTCACAGTGCGAAGCCTCAGATGGTGTAAAATCGCACCGATCACTAAGCAATTTCCGCAAACATCAAGAATTAGAATAAAAATGACGAAACTCGCTTGGGAGATCATAGAGGCCAGTGTGTATGGTACATCGTTACTTTCACAAGAGGCAGATCCACTTGAAACATTCATGTTGACAACAGGGTATGGTTGCCGAGTAATGCGCTCCGCGCGCTCGTCTTCGCGTATTTATCGGGCTTCTATCAATAACAGACGCTGGCGATAATTCGCGCACACGAATCAATTGTTGTCGCCAAGTGACAGTGAGAGCACACTGGCAGCGGTTTTGAGACAAGTAAAGGCAGTGACAACTCTGCTCCGATTTGTCTCTTTTCTGACGTGACTATTAATTAGTCCATTTTTAATTTTTGTATTTAAATTCATTTGGCTTGTGGACCCTCCTCAGTCATAAAGAGGCTTTCATTAATGAATAAAGATCTTGCTAACTTCGTCTTTAATCATCGAGAGTAACGTGTTCCTCCTTCGCTTAAATTTTGTATAACGAGCTTTCAATGAAGATTGCAATATATTTCATAGCTCTTTGTTAGTAATGATTTTGCTGTTTGAGATAAAGCTTAGCTAACCTTGCTGCGTCCTTGTTACCTATCGCAATTTCGAATTAGCGTCGACAATAAAATATATTTGTTTTCACCTGCTTGAGAGAGAAGCCACGCAGCGAAGGGAAAAATAATTTACGTTCGACAAAGAATTTCTCCCGCTGTCTTTCAGGACAGGGAGGGAAATACGACTTACAAAAGTTGCAATTTTTGGATATTCGCGCAGTGAGAGCTAAAAATAAAACTTGTAAGAGAAACAAAACATGTCAACGAATTTCTGACAGGTACATGAAGAAAAAATCTGCGACATCCATTACAGGCTCTTTCAGTACTTCAATGCAAAAGTAACTCATTTGATCCGAGTTCGACTAATTTACAAACAGTCGCTTTCAGACGCAGACTGTAAAATAATGCAATTCTTTTTCTGACGAAGGAAGTCGTTGAGTAATCGTAATATATGTACTGCTTGCTTTCACAGAAACATGCCATTTCATTACGAAATATGTTATTCAAATATATCTCAGAGGAAGCGGTCAATATTTAGTTTCTTCGTAGGTACGTTATTTGTTCACCACCAAGGCCAAAAAAGCCGGTCAACGCTTGAAGGAAAGCAAGTGGAAATTTTGTTTCATGCGTGTCTGTTTGTAACGTGACATCATATCTTGTTTTAATTGATGTGGTTTTAGATTGAGCTTTACCTGCATAAATCCAGTTTGCATATATTTACGTGCGAGTAAACTTAAATTTCTGAATAAACTTCCTGGATTTTATCAAGATTTCATGATGATGTTTTTCTATTTCTCGCAACGAAACCGATGCTTCCATTTGTATTTACGAGCACAACTGAAGTTTGTATGAAGGGTCGAAGAACTTTCTAAAAGCTGGAGGCTTTAAGCCGGGTGATATTCGATACGATTGTAGCTTTCTTACGTAAAGCGAGCATACATCTGTCTGCATCAATTCTGGCGTAAAATAAGGTCAGAGTAAATAAGTCTGCGGATTGAATTGAAAAGACAAAGGAATTATTCATTGTTGCGTAAATCAGACTGAGTGGTGTATGTGCGGTGGAGGTCGGGGTAAATTCTTGTCCGCACCACGGCGACAATTCAAATGAGTTTTGTTTTGAAATTGTGGTTTGGAATTCGCAAGATGAGACCGAAAACAGGGCGAGAAAGGATAAAAAAAGTAAAGATACTAAGAATCAGATTATTGATCACCAATAAGGTGATCGGTATTTCGTAGAAAAAAATTTACGTTCTAAATGCCTCTCTTATAGCTAATATCAGGATAAAAAATTCGCTACAGTCATCTCAGGGCCTCTTGCAATGCTAATGTATTTCAGTCAGACGTAGAAAAAAAGCTTTCGTATCACTAATTTCAATTGCTTTTAAAAATGTTTCTTTGGGTTTTAAGGCGCGTAATTGCTCCTTGAAGTGGAAAAAAAGCAGCTGTCTTGGCTTGAGTCGTGGCAAATGATGATCAAAAGAATACATTGATCATGCCGGTGCTCAGCAGGAAAGCTAGAACTGGATGCGCTGCAAAAAACAATGAAATTTCAAAAGGAGACGATAAATCAGGTTAGTGTTTATGATACTACTTGGTGTGTAGCTTCAGACTTCCACCACTACCTTGCTGTGTGTATTTTTTGACAAATAGGATGCGGCTCAATACAGTTATCGTTATGGCGTCGACGATATTAAACATTGAAGACCAATTTGATCTGCGGGAAGCGCGGCACTCTTCGAATAGACATGAAAGGCAGCATAATTTAGCGCTTTTGTTAAATGCGAGAAAGCGATTTCACGTCTTTAAAATGTGTGTTTTCTTGTGGTCAAAGTGCATTTCAATTACAGTTAAGATCATTTTGTCCTCAAAGAGATAAGATATACAACTGATACGGGCTAGGTAGTTATCGATTGAAATACCGATAATCTACACGCAGAACTGCCCTTAATTACGGTCATATTCTGGCTTATTTTCTCTCCACAATATGCCACGTTTTAGAGAATAGAAGAATGCTTCAGAGTTGATTTTTGCACTAAATTTTGCGAAAATTCTATTCCAAATAGCTTTATAAATATTCGTAATGGATCGGTAAAACTGCAGAGACAATTGTTGTCCATAGATTGGAAACCCTGTAAATGTTTTTGCTAGTGATACTGTTAGGGTTAGCTGCCAGTTCGAGCCATAAGAAAAAGGATGTTAAAACACTTTTTAATTGAGATTCAAAATTAAACTTTTTAAAATGTGATGGCACAAGTTTGGATACAGAGTAAGAATTTTTTTTCCCAAATATTGTTAAAGGGCGCAAATGCGCTAAAGGATTGCAGACTATTAAAGGCCTCAAAGCTCGCGGCGGAATGATACCAAAAGTATATTTTATGGGATTGTGGAAATGTGTCTCGTTTTCATCTTAAGTGAAAAACACAGCAAGCGAACGTGATAATTAACGTGAAAATAATTAAAAATGGCAAAATAACGACATTCTGGGATTACATGTGATCTTAAAATTTGCATAGAAGCCCAGCTGTGATAAAAATTGCCCTATTCTCTCTGTTTGGTTTAACATTTCAAAAATGTTGAAAAAAAACCAAGTTTTGACGACATATGCAAGTTTTGTTTTTTATTTCAGTTGCGGGAAAAACCCATTTGCGGAAACTTAATTTACGCTATTTCAGCTGCTAGATTATGCAAGCTAATGAACACCGATAATAGACAGATAGTGGAGCCGATAATAGTAGTGTTCATCTCGAAAAATTCAAGTAAATAGATTTGGGTAATTTTTTATTCTTACGGTGCATTCATCGCGGCCAATTATCAAGGAACCGTACGAGAGAAAAAATCATCATTGGCGCTTATGAGTCTACCTAACACGTTTCAAAAAATATTAATGAAAGCTTTTAAATGCATGCTTACTGATAAGCTCTTGAAATATATGGGGATAAAAGGGAAACTTTCTGTAGATGGTATTACTTTTCTTTTGCGGAATTATATATATACATAGGAAGTTATGGGAAATTGAGGAAGACTTACCCAGAAAGCTATTAAAAAAAGATACAAATTAAGGGATCATATTATACTGCAAACCGAACACTTAAGGATCCTAGGGATCCAAAGCAACGATAATGTTTTAAAGTCGTTTTGTAACTTTGAAATTAAACTACTGTCATTCGTTTTTCATTCCTTTTTATTTAAATCAGCATCTCTTTCCTCGATCCTTAGGGCATTTATGTCCATTTTTCCTCGAACAGGAAATAACTTGATATACGGTTTAAAATTTCCTCATTTTCCAACTGATCTCGCCTTTCTGCCATCCGAAAAAAGGTACATGTTTTTCAATTCACTTAAACATACTGGAACAGTTTAATTCAAGTTTTGCAGCATAAGTACTCCGTTTCATGTGCATCTCCGAAGTTGCCCAAAAGTCGTAAAAGTTCACTGTAAAATATCGCAGCAGGTTTACTGATAAACAATAACACAGTTTCCACAGACTGCCACTGTCGCAAATCAGTGGCCCTGCGGTTGCTGGTTGCATATTAGTACACAAAGGAACTTAACTAAACTTACACAGAAAAAATCGGACAAAGAGTTAAGTGGAATATCAGTTTGACAGATTTAAATCAAGAATAAGTTTGCTGTTGTCCAGTTTCTCCATATATTTTGTACTGACTAACACAACCATTTAGAAATAATACGTCTCATTACGTTACTTAAATAGCTTATTTCAAAGGTCACGAATTTGAATTCTGATGACAAAGCAATCGTTTTTCTTAAGAATAAACTTACTTGAACTAAAAAGACCAATATCTCTATTTTTTTTCACTCTGTGACTTCTTAGAAATTGATATCTGCAGTATACTCACTAATCAAGAAAATAAAAGGAAATAAAGACTGAATTTATAAACAGATCTCATGGTTTTCTCCTTCTCTTACGATAACAGACCAGCCATATACGGAAAACTCAGAGTTAATGTGGGCTTAAAATAATCGCCATATAGACAAAACAAAGCATGCCTTCAATGACACAATTATGATAAAAAACAAACTAAGCCACGCAATCAATTTGCTTAATAATCAGGGTACTATTTTTTCGAGGTTTCGTACGAAACTATTGCTTTGTATCGGCGAGAAAGTTAAACTGTTCACTTGATCATCAACTAAAATGAGTAGTTCCCCTTTAAACAAACAAAATTCATATTCTTCTAAGTCAGTCCTTCAATTGATTTTTTACTCTTTCTGGAGCCCTAATTCTCTCCTTTTCAGCCTACATGTTTCTATGAACAGCATACCAAATTAAGAGGAAGTTGTGGGGGAGGGGGGGGGATAATAATTCTCAGACAAAACAAGGCATCTATTTAATGTCAATGAACGGAAAAGTTGGGGTCGATTGATTAGCACGGAAATTACACACTATTCTCGAAGTTTCATAATAGACGTTTGTGCTTCGTCAACGGGGAAGTGACACGCACCACCCATGTGATTGTGAACCATATCAACTGGCGCAGGTAACTTTGAAAAGATGACCGCTTCAAGATTTTAAAAATGGTAAATCATACGGTGACATAGATCTTTCTTTATATACCTTTCAATGAACGATTGTTGGTCGATAATCGGCAGTAATTTGATAACTATGGCGGAATATCTCATCAATTTGAGAGTTCTTTTAACATGGTAGGCGGTAAAATAT